CAGCTCACTGGAAATCAGTGCTGGGATGTGTCTGTCTGATCCAGAGCTCAGCTCTGCACCCATGGAAGCGTGCAGGTGCCAGTGCTGCCCTGGGGGCTGCAGAGGGGCTCTGGCATTTATTTGGCTGTGCCAGGGCAGGGCTGCTGAGCCTGCTGTGCTCCAGGAGCCTGGAGCACACAGCCCTGCTGATGCACAGTGGGAATGAAGTCTTTCCTGGCAGCAAACCCTTGTCTTTTCCTGAGAAGCACTGTTGTAAGAACAACACCCACTGCTTTGTCTTACAGTAGATTTTATTCATATGAGTGGTGCATCTTTCAACTCTTTATTTTTGCCTCTCTGTTGTCACTGTAGCCAGCCCTTCATCAGTGAAGTACAACACTTGAATTTTGAAATTCCGTAGAACATATCTGTTATTTCAATGTGCTAACCAAACTTCACGCTTTTGGCTGTTCTCTGAGGGTTTTAAGAGCTTTTTTGGAGATGTTATTTTGGGGTTTGTTTTGGATTTTTTTTTAATCAGCCACCAGGTTTGGAAGCGTAATAACTTCTTTTTGTGCTAGCTGCAGTTTGTTTTTCCTTCCTGGATGTTTTTCTGAAGGGACCAACACATAGCACAATTCAACCTAAATTTCTAATCCCATGCATTCCTCAAGGCAGAAACCTTTTGTGCCTAATGATGCATCTGAGTCTAAGAACTGTATGTGGAAAAGATCTTTCATAGACCAATTTAAAAAAAAAAATAAGTCTTAGATTAACCACATAATAATCACGGAAAAAAAAACATGTATAGATTTGAGACATGCACATTTAATTCCCTCAACTTACATTAAGTTGAACTATTTCAGGTGTGTCATAAGAGATAAACTCAGTGGATATTCAGAAGAAAAGCTTTCCAGCTGTTCTATCCAGGTTCAGTGAGTGGACAGGACTATAATTTTGAATATATGCAGTCTTTTAGGGCTACTGATTTAACAAGTAACTGAGTAATGGCTTGTATCACAACCCTATTAAAATTCTGCTAGTAAATCCCCTTGAAGTGCCTCTTTAAATATTATCTGCTACAAGCATGTGAAAAATACAGATTTACCCTACAAATTGCCAAATCTCAGGAGCAGCCACTGGGCTCAGCCCCTTCCTTGCTCTGAACTGTGCTCCCTCTTAGGACAGCCACATCTCCAGGAGACCTGCCTTTGGCTCTGCGAGTTTGCTGTCCAGCTCAGGCATCCTAAATTCTCAATCCTGAAAATGGAATAGAAAAAATAAGACTTCAAAAGAAACTGCATTGAAACTAATCTTTGGACCCATCCTCGGTCTCAGTAGAATAAGCAGGGAAATCTGCATAGAAATAGTACGCAGTGATAATTTTACATAAAAGAGTTGTTACACTATTGCATAATATTAATTAATAATAATAATTTTTTTAAGAGCCCACAATTTTTATTATTTTTTTTTTTTTACAGAAGTTGCAGGGAAGAAATGTTCTGGTCCTGGAACTCAAAAGCTGAATTTGATTTCAGGGATCTCACATCTGCTAACAAAATAATCAGTCATGT